TCAGCACCTTCTGTTACAAGAAACAGCTCTTAAATATATGCAAAGCCCTGGAGCCCTGTTCTTGGGGGGGGGGGATATCTTAGTGATTAAAGAACTTTAAATAAATAAATAAATGTGTGCCTAAACTTCCAAAGTTTCTGAACTTCTGCTGTGGAATTTATATATGCGTATATATAATAGCAAAATAAAACAACTCAAGCATAGGATATCTCCATCTAACATCACGTTCCTCAGTAGTTTCTGTGTTATTTGACTCCCTTTAATGCTGTCTGCAGTTACTTGGGACTCATCCAGACTTCCTTCCCCACCCCCACCCCAGCTTTTCCCCAGGAAAAGCTACGTTTTAGCGCTGAATTGGAACAAATGGGTTTTCTGTAGATTACCATGCCAGTTTACTGTTAAAGAGCAGATTTTTTGGGGGAGGGCAAAGGCAAAACATCTTGGACCTGTGCCTAGAAGGCATGGGATAAATGGAAGTGTGGATGAACCCTTAGTTATGGATTTTAGAAGGGGAGTGAGTAGTTTAAGGCCCTTCGGTACTATCTATCACACTGGGTTGCACTGGAAGCCCCAATCCCTGATTTCTTTGTCAGCCAGTAGTCCCACCTTTCTGAGAACCTTACACTGCAGCCAAAACATATGATGTATCCTGTGGCTCATGGGCCAATCTTGGCCTGCCAGGGGGTCCAAGTTAGCCAGTGAGGCCATTCTTCTTAAACCATGCTCAACTGACATCACTTGTGACATCATCTTATGGATGAAAAGGAAGGTTGGCTGCACACACCTATTCCCAGCAGGGAACAGGGGTGCACAAGCAAGGCAGCATGATTTCACCCTGTCAGCTGTTGACTGAGGTGGTTAAATCCTGCTCCTGATTCAGGAAGGTGTTTGCATAGGAATCCCTTGCTAAAAGGAAGGGGAAAGACCCATTTTAACAGAGCCTTGCAAGGTGCCTTGAAGTCCCAGCTTCAGGTGGCATCAGGTGATTATCAGGTAGATGATGTGTCCCACCTGTCTAATTTGACTTGCTGGACTGATTCTAGTAAGGATCTGGCACATGGAGTCTAAAAGGTTCTACATCCTTGCATAAACCTTTACCTACTGTCAGAAATACCGTTTGATACTCAACTTCAAATTCTAGGTCTGGTAGAATTTCAAGCCACCTGGGTGCCTGAGACAGTGGGATTTTTGGCTGTCAACACAAGCAGTTATACAGAGCACTTTCAGTGTGACTTTAACTGGTAGCGGGAGATCTAAATCTATTTGGTTCTTTTTGTAATGTGGTCTATTTTTGAATATTACCGAGTCTAGCATAACTGGAACACAAACACAGCACATCCAAATTGGACAGCATCTTACCAAAGATGCCCCCCCCCCGCATCCTTTTTAGGATTTTATGGGATGTTACCTCACTTTATGACAGTTCCCATTGTAGCGTAAATACTGAACATTTTCTGTAAGTGAGGCAATGCACTGTGAAATGTCAAGCAAACGATAAAATCAATAATCTGCAAGTTACCAAAGACAAATGCTCACAGATGCTCACAGTGGATTGCGGGTAGGGTGGGGGCTGTCAAAGACAAATGCTGAATTCGGGAGACCATGTGCTTTACTGCTTTTAACTTCCCCTCATTTCATAGGGTTGTTGGTTCTAAGGCTTTGGCTCTGAACCTATTCTTATGGTCGAAATGGTTTAAATCTCAGGGTGCTATTAGAAGCACAGAAACTGTGACTTTATTTTCATTTGGTAAGTATTATTTTGTTCCAGTGCATTACATTTTAGGATTACGCATGGTTCAGCCAGCACTTTCTCTTCTCTGGACAGACCTGAGAGTTCGCAATACATCATATTTATAGGTTACACTTTGAAGCAATTCACCCACATTGTTATGGCTAAGCACTATTCTGTCTGTCTCTCTGTTGGTTTGTCTACATATGGATAAGCTTACACCAGCTTAGTAAGGTAGGCTGGTATTGCTAAGAGTGGGCTGAGATTGTGGGGAAAATAACTTGCTTAAGTTTTCATAGCCAAATCATGGCTGAAGCCAAAGCACAGTTGAAGCTGAATTGAGTATTTTCTAGTTCACTGTTTTCATTCCTAGCCACTATGCCACACCAGGGATTGCCAAGGGAATCTCCTCCCTTGATTCATTTATGTTATAAACCATAATATAGTAGACTATTTGGGAGTTAGCTGCTTGTACTGGCTCCATTGAAACCACTGTAAAAAATGCCTTTAGAGTTCATAAATGTTGGCTGGGTGGGCAGGGAAGGAGAAAATACTGCAAATCTTTCTGGTAAGGGTTGCTTTTAAACTTGTCTTGTTAATGGACTGAAGGGGGGGGAGGGAGCATTGGAGACCCACTACTCTATTGCTAAAAAGACAAAGGGGAGGCTGGGGAGGGGAGGGGAGGCACAACAGCCTAAAGCAAAAATGGTACGAGTTCTAAATGAAAGGAAAAGAAAATAGAGCAAGACAGTGACATGCATAATCATGTAGGTTATAACATTTCTTTAATGTTTTATGCAGCCAATAGTACTGAAGAACTCAGAGGCTTCTGTCAGCGCTGGTATTTTCTTATCACAGCACGCTTATTGCGACTTTCTAACTGCTCTGTTGGTCTGGCATTACTTTGCTACTGAAGAAAATCAGATGGCTTCTGGCTTTTCTTAAGTATTGCACCTGCAGTACTGCCTGCCTCCTGGGAATAATTCAGCTCATTGGTAAACACAACCCTTATACATCAAAAGTTTCCACTTTCTCTCACCCCTTTTAACACGCTGGCCCCTCCCTCTCTGCAGGCTTCTTGTGGCTGTCTAGGGAATCTTTCACTTTTTGTCCTTTCCTGACCCTCCTGCACCACATTCGAGTCTTATTCAGACCATCTGCTCTCAAGGAAGGTAAAACTTCTGCTGTGAAAATAGCCGTTGTCCCTGGCAGTTAACTTCTTTTTTAAGTTACCTTTTCAGGGTGCTTGGCATTTCCCCCCTCCCCAAGAAAAGAGAGAGTAACATTTGCGAGATCTTAATTCAGGCTCTCCCTTCTGGCTCGAAAAATAGTTTACAATTGATATGTTTCTGGTTGTCGCCTTCCTTTTCCTCCACCCCCCCCTTTCCCAGATAGTGGTATGCTCTTCTTGTTCCTGACAGAAGTGTTTCTAAAGGCCTGCTCAAGCCTCACTAAGCAGCTGTGCGTTAGGTCATTTTCCCAGGAGTTTTACATGTGGAAAGCTGGGCATTTAGCAAGGCCTCAAAAAGGACACCATCTGGCCCTAGTGAGGGGAGGGGGGAAGGATCATGACACTTTCAGTGGTACCAACAGGCCCTGATGAACCATAAAGGAATGCAGGCCTAGACTGTGATCCAATAGCGACTAGCCCAACAATCACCTCAATGACAGCTAAATCCATTCATCTCCAAAGTTATCTCATGGCACAATGGACTTTTGTGCCACGCTGTTTGCTGAAGGCGTAGTAAAATCCATTTTGATTTTTGTGCCGGGTTTCGGGGCCTGCACATTTTCCTAGAAGGCATATGTAGCAAACTTTGAGTTCACAAAAAGACACATCTCTCTTAACATTCAGGCCCTCTCCATTTCTGTCTTTCCATGTCTACCCAAAATATAAAAGAATAAAACATTAGTCCCAGGAATACTTTCTAGGTCTGTGGAAACTTAGTCAACATTTCAGAGATTTCAGACAATGTTCTGAACCTTGATTCATTTATATTTTATTGGGGAAGGAAATCCCATTATTGTAGTTTACCATTTACACCCCCAATTAGTTTTGTAATTTGAAATGAGGCAGACTTTTTTTTTCTAGTGGCAAGACAAAATAAAATGTATTTGACATTTAGCTATTACAATGAATTTTAAAAACACATTTCTTTGCTGAGCTTATAACTTTTTGATATGTTGATTCATTTCAGGTAATGTTCGGTGTATGTAAGACTGCAATCCCACCAGCACATTGATGTTTAACAGATATGAATACCATAAAAATAACAACTGGTAGTAATGTTATACAATGAAGTAGATACAAAGAAGCTTTTGACTAAGTGGAAGACTCTCCTGCTTGGGAGTAAGGGGAGAGCCCTAATCTTTTACTTATTTCCTCTTTGAGCTTTGCCCCATCTAATGTCACTCTTCTAACTGCCTGGAGTGGCTTTGGGGACTGAAACAGAAAGTAGGAAAGCTTCATTATGCTAGCAGAAGTCCATGTGCAATGGTTATGATACCCCCACTCTCTGCATGCATACATATGCACACCAACTTTCCATTTATATAGCCACTTTACAAACTTTATTGTATCCACTCTCCCAATAAACCTTGCATGGGGTGTGTGTGTCATTAAATATCTGTAAAAATGCCTTCCATGCAAACCTGCCTGTGCCTTAAGATCAGTAGACAAAACCCTCTTGGTAATCTCTGTTTAGGATGAAGTCCATGGTATGGGGGCCTGGGGGAGGGCCTTTTCAGTGACGGCTCCTCACATGTTATTATTATTATTTGTTAAATTTGTATACCACCCTTCATCTGAAGATCACAGGGTGGTTCACAACATAAAAATAGAAAATGAAGACACAAAATACATAATGAAACATAAACAAAAGCAAGCAAATAACCTGCCTCTCACAGGGACTTTTAAAAGGCCATAGAATGTTATTCAGCCAAATGCCTAGTTGAATAAAAACATTTTTGACTGATGCCTAAAGATAAGTAATGAAGGTACCAAGTGAGCCTCCCTGGAGACAGCAATCTGCAAGTGGGGAGCCACTGCAGAAAAGGCTCTTTCTCGTGCTGCCACCCTCCTGACCTCTTGTGGAAAAGGCATGCTAAGAAGGGTCTCAGATGATAATCACAGGATCCAAGTCTCTCCCTACTGACTTCCTTCCTATTTTTCTAAGGAACATATGACACCACACTATAGTAAGTCAGACCACGGGTTCATCCAGCTCAGTACTGTCAACACAGACTGGAAGGGGTCTCTCTCAGACCTATGTGGAGATGCTGGGAATTGAATCTGGGACCTTCTGCATGCATAGCAGATGCTGTTCCACTGAGCTATGGCCCTCCTGGAATGGGCTGCTCTGTTCTCCTAGCCTGGATGTCACCAGTTCTGATACTGGATCTGAACTGGGGCCGATGTGGGGAAGTCCTTCAGAGGAGAGACTCTTGATCGAGGACAAGACAGCCAGCACCACCAGTGACATCGGCTGCAACATTCAGAACTTGCACTCAACCTTTCTTTCCCCTCCTCCCTCCCATTAATTTCCCCTTGTGTGTTATGTCATTTTAGATAGTGAACCTGGGGCTATGAACTGCCTTAGAACCCTGGGTATAAATCCTGCAAGTACACAAAACACAAAACAGTGGCCTGCATTTGCCACATAGGCAGATGATCTGTGTGAAAAACAACGGTCATATGGATTGCAGACATCACATGCATGATCCTGAGACCCTTACAAAAGGGATATAATCTGTTAAGAATGGGAAGTATTAACATTGAACTGAACAAAACAAAACAGTCAGTGGAGTGGGTGAGCATGCATGGCGTGTTAAAATTAGCTTTTTGTATATGTCTCCTGTGAGTGATTTAAAACAAGAGGCACAACAGCTAGTATCCACTTACCTTCGTATTATTTGCACAATTGTGCATACTTCCATTCACACTGTGTTAAAACCTTTCAGAGTTTGCCTAAATTAAAAAATTGTCAACATGCTCTCAGCCAAGAACAGGCACTGAGAGTCGCTAACATCAGTACACAAAGAATATCTATGAAGAGCAGCGCTGAGTGAACCCACAGAGCAGAGGATTCTGAGTTTTGAAAGGGAAGGAATGTAGATGCATGGGAACAGCTTTTGAAGTCCACAAAGAGCTTTTTTAAAAAAAACAAAACAAAACTGAAAGAGGAGCAGGGAGGAACAGATCAGAACCTTCTTTTAATTCTCAGCTCCACAAACACGCAAGGCATTTGTCTAGATGACTGGCAACAGTTTCACTTTGAAAATCACAAAGACAACTCCTTATCTTATAAATAGAGTTACATGTTTGCAATCCAAGGTATGTGTTCATTCAGGGATTTATCCTCATTGTAACAAAATGTGCTAGGTTCTCTCTCTCTCTGTGTGTGAAATATATAGCTATATATATCTGCATGCATGAGCATACACACAGACAACAGCACATGCAAAAAGGACAATTTAGGAATTTGATATATTGCAAAACCATTACTTTAAACCCTCATCTGTTTGGTGCCTTTTCTTACCAATGATTTTTCGGAGTCAAATGCATTCTAAGGATTAAATGATTTTAAGGGGGATTAAATGTTAATTAAAAATATAATAGAAATATCAGTAGCAGAGATGGCCAACGTAAATATTTATCACTTAAACTGCATGATCACGCAGCACACTCCACCACTTATTTTCACAATGTGGAGCTACAGTTCATGTAAATTACAGAAATGGCACACCCACACAAATCTATATAATGTAACAACACATTTATTTATACTTCACAAACATAGAGCAATGTCCTTGAAAATTCTAAAGGTCATTGTTAATAGATTTTTCTTCTTCTTCCACCAACTGTGTCTTTCTTAGCCTGTAAGAACGCTGTTCCCGGAGAGGTCCTTGAAGGGCTGGGAGGAGCAAATTCCATGTGGCCAGTTCAGCTGCAATAATCTCCTTTCTCCTCCTGGCCCAAGCCACACATGACAGCACTCTAGTGTCTCTCATCATTATTTGTCACCCTTTTGTGTCATGCAACTTATATCCACGGCCATTCCAGCAATTAAGACGGGGGGGGGGGGGAGGCCCAACGTTATCCACCGTGAATAACTCTGAGGCAAATGACATCAAGTGCCAACCGCTCTATTGAGCGATTGGTACCTGATACCACTAGACCATTGTTAAGTGTTTTATGAGGAACACAAATAAACTGCTACATTGGAGGGGTCAGAGCCTAAGGAGGACTGATCAGATCTCTTCAGTGACTTGGCAGTAGCGACTGCAAAGATTTTACAATACGCTGCTTGTAATGAGAAATGAGGAGTGGAGAAGAAAGAAGACAGTGGCTTAGTCCTAGAGGCTTATTTTGAAAAGGCTGAAAACTTCATATCTCATTTATTTTCCAAAGTACCTCAACCTGCAGCAATACCCAAAAGAAATTAAACTGATGAAGGCTGTGATTGGAGAGTATGTTCCTAGGATCGCTAGACTCCTGCCAAATGTCTAAGGCTCAGCTGGTTAAGTCTTTGTCATCAGTTTTGAATCAATTTGTGCAGTTGAAAGCGAGGCTTAAGGTTGTAATAATTACTGTTAACTAAGTCAGGTTTCACCTACTATGAAGCTCAATGGATCCATGTTCGACTTGCTGTTGTTAGGGCTGTAATAATCCACACATAGTCATGGCTACACCTGACTGTGTGTCACAAAGTGAACATCAAATGCCTTTGTCACTTGTGCAACGGTGCAAAGTGAGGGCTAAAAGTTTAATTGGCTGACCAATCATTAAATGAATTAACTAAAGGTGGTTAATTGATCATTGGCAGCAATTTTTTAAGTGATAGAGCTATGAGTTAAGAGAACACTTGTGTAATTTTTTTAAAAGGCTGATTTTGTTATAGTGTTCCCCCTTCCAGACATAACGCCAAAACAGAACTTAGCACTATATGAATGAGTTTCAACAAGCCTTTGACTCATATACTCTCCACCCACTTCTCCCATCTGGTACAACCACAAGGAGAGAAGATTGGTACCATCTACTTTAGCTTTTAAACTAACCTGAGTTCCCTGTTACATCATAAGAACATAAGTAGTGCCTGCTGAATCGGCCTAATGGCCCATCTAGTCCAGCATCTTGTTCTCACAGTGTCCAGCCAGAAGTCTGTGGGAAGTCTTGCAAGAAGAATATGAGTGAAACTGTGCTCACCCCTCCTGCACTTTCCAGCAACTGGTATTCAGCAGCATACTGCCTCTGTCAGGGGGTGTAGAAAAAAAGCCATTGTGGCTAGTAGTTTTTTTAACAGCCTTGGCCTCTAATCCTCTTTTAAAGCCATCCACATTTGTGGCCATCATTGCTTCCCATGGGAGCAAGTTCAATAGTTTAATCACATGCAGCATGAAGCAATACTTTCTTAAATCCATCCCAAATCTTCTAACATTCATTTTCATTAGATGGCCATGGGTTCTAGCGTTACAAGAGAGGAAACAACAACTTTTTTCTATTCATGTCATGTATAATTAACAAACTTCTTACTCACCTTTTGTCTAAACTAAAAAGGCCCAAAGGTTCATAAGAGCCCCCCAATTTCACTGATTTTTGTTTTTTGGAAGGAGAACATTTACAGATGATTTTGGGGTCACTTAATGTGGTAGTCCTGTCCCCTCCACCTTGCTTAGCAGTAAGGCACAAAACCTAGTTTGATTGATCCTTGTGGTGGCAACAGCAGCAAAGCTATTGTCATAGCATTACTCAGGGGAGATTTGAGGACAGGGGAAATACATTTTCCCCCTTGTTAGTATTTTCTTTTTAACTGTTGCTGTGGCAAGCGGCCTGGGGAAAAAAAAAAACAGTCAAAAGATTTCACCACCTGAAATTACCCTCCTCAACTCCCAGTTTTGGAAGCCTGAAGTCAGTTCCCCCAATAATTTTGCAGTGAAAGTTTTAATAATCAAAGAATTGGCATGGCATGCTTCTTAAGACAACACTCCATCAACTGTCATCACTGCTACACCACATCTGTGCCTGCTTGACATCTGCTGTAAGCCACTGTACTACACCACATCAGCTATCAACTGCTTAGAGGCAGTGGCTGTTTGATTTTAATTAAATAAAAATCTTGTTAAATAAAAATAAATAAATAAATGATGCACTGTGTAGCAGTTAGAGCTTTTTAAAAGCACATATGCACAGATACACAAATATGTATTTCTAGAAATTCAAATTCTGCTATCGAGAGAAGCTACACTGTCATTGCTGTATAAGCAATAAAAAAGAATAGTAGCAGCTCTAACAGGTGAGAAATCAAAAACACTTGTTGCCATTTTTTAAATTCTTTTTGAATGTACACATGAAGCATGGGAAAGCGAGCCTGCACCTTTTGTTGGACTAATGAATGTTGAAAATTCTGGAGGCGTAAAGCGTTTTGGGGGTGGGTGGGTTTGTGGGGAGAAAGTTCATGTACAAATGTAGAGCAATTGCGAGAAAGTTATTCCTGAATATCGGTTCTTTGAAAATCACTGCCCTTTAGGATGTAAGCATGGGTACTTAGAATCACCATCGAGAGGCAACCAGAGTGTGTACTTGCAAATCAATTGACTTTCATTCAGTTTAGAGGTGAAGGTAATGTCAATGCAGAGAGTGTATTGAATTAGTTTGTATTTGAGCCCATGCCAGAGACTGTCACATATCTCAAACATACTGTGTGGAACTGCTGCCAGAGAGAAGAAATAAGAACAACCACATCAAGCAGTCTTCTTTTTCATAGTTTGCTTTTTCATAGTTTCACTGGCTTGCTTCAAAATATGGCAAGCCAGTACAGTCATACCTTGGGTTACAGATGCTTCAGGTTGTCGAACCCGGAAGTACTGGAATGGGTTACTTTTGGGTTTTGGCGCTCGCGCATGCGCAGAAGCACTAAATCGTGCTTTGCACACTTGCGGAAGCACTGAATCGCAACCCACGTGTCCGCAGATGCACAGGTCGCGAACGCTGCGGGTTGCGAACGTGCCTCCTGCACGGATCCTGTTCGCATCCTGAGCGTCCACTGTATGGTTGTGTTTGGGCTCATTCAGCTGAGTGGGGCCATGTACTTCTGCAACAATGTCCTGCCCTATTGGCCCCAAATGAATTCATATTATAGGTCAGTCATTATTAAAAGAAGCACCCTGCCATGGGGCGAGAGGTAGGTCCCAAGCAAATCCCACCTTTCACTTTAAGAAATGAAAATCTATCGAGCAACATAGGACTCAAGCCACTGGTGTTATCTAGCTCTGTATTGTCCACACTGACTGCCAGCAATTCTCCAGGGTTTCAGACAGGGGTCTCTCCCACCCCAAATTAAAGGTGA